AGAGCCTAGGTTTAAATTAAGTGCCTAGAACTAGTTTAGAACTTGGCTAGCTAAGGAATGATAGGAACGTGGTGAGGTATGAGAGTGGGGTTGATTAAAGGCGTTTGTTTGATTCTCTCTTTAATGTGTGTTGGTTTCCTTTGTTTCGATAATCTTGTGTTGCTTAGTCCCGGAAGTGAAAACTTGCCGGGAAATTCTCGTGGGAGCATTTGATTAATAATCTATGAACCTTTTATGTGGTTATAGATGGCTCCAAAACGGCGTGGGCGCTCTCCGAGGGGTAGCCATAAGGATCAGGGCATGCCTCCGATCCCAGAAGCTAGTCCCCCCACCCAAGCTGCTCCGCAGGAGGGAGGGACGAGCAATCCTCAAGTGGCCAGCTTTGTTCAGGAACTTATGGCGGAGATAAGACGCCAAGTATCTCCTGCCACAAGTGTACCACCTCCATCCCCGATGGTCTCCACTCCTGTGGCCCCTGCTCCGGTTTCCCCTGTTCCTATCTCTTCTACTCCTGATGTACCTACCTGGAAGATTTATACCGAATTCCAGAAGTTGATGAAGAACAAGGGATTCGATGGTACTGCAGGTTTTGAGCAGGTGGAATCATGGATTTCCGAGGTGGAGCGGGGATTCTACCTGCTGCATGTTTCCGATGACCTTAAGGTCAATGTAGGCACCTACATGCTTACTGGGAAGGCATTAACTTGGTGGGAGAGTTATCGGAAGCTACACCAGGGAGAGCCTGAATTGAGCACCTGGGATGGTTTTAAGAAGGTGTTCATGCGGGAGTACATACCGGATAGCAAAAGGCGAGAACTGCAAAGAGAATTTGTAGATTTAAAGCAAGGGCCAGGTACTGTTAAGCAATACAAGGAGGAATTTGACCGCTATCTGCCTTTTGTGGGTGGCCAAGTTGGCGATGAGCAAGCCAAAGCCGACAAATTTCTGTGGGGCTTGAATTCTGACATTTACTTGGCGGTAAACCAATTTAAACCCGCCATTTATCGAGAGGCTACGGACAGAGCCATAGATCAGGAGAAGGCTATGGCTAGAGTCAAGCCCTCAGGGCAGCTTAGTGGTGGGTCATCCCTTGGGAAGAGGAAGTTTGATGGGAGCCGTCGGTCCCTTTTCCTTACACCACCTAGATCTAAGATCAGCAAGGGCTCTAGATGGTCAGGAGCCACCAAGACAGTGAGTCAGGCATCATCGGCCCCACGTGCTCATCCTACTCAGCCTATTTGCCATGTTTGTGGGAAGGTCGGGCACACCCGGGATCAATGCCACATTGCTACTGGGGCTTGCTTCAAATGTGGCAAGCAGGGACACCGGATTGCAAATTGTCCACTGCTAGACCCCAAGACTCAGGGCACTCAACCTACCTCTCCGCAGGGTTCTACCAGTCAGGGGGCGCAGAAACAGAGTACCGGGGTTCGGACAAGAGCCCAGCAGGCGAGAGTGCAAGTGATGACTCACAAGGAAGCTGCGACCACCGACGTAATCACGGGTACCTTGCCTGTTAACTCTGATTATGCGCATGTTTTATTTGATTCGGGTGCATCGCACTCTTTTATTGCTCGATCCTATGTTTTGAAACGAGCTTTGCCTGTTGATATCTCTGATTGTGAACTGCATGTGGACACCCCTTTAGGAGGGGTGATGACTACTAGGGAGGTGTGTAGGACTGTGGATATTTATGTTGATGGTAGACAATTGAGTGCTAGTTTGTTTGTTTTAGATATCTCCGATTTTGATATCATTTTGGGGATGGATTGGCTGTCTAAGTACTTTGCCTCTATAGATTGTCATCGGAAATGGGTAAATTTTAATATTCCTAGTGAGCCAGAATTTAGTTTTCAAGGCAGTGGTTCTTTTGCTCTACTCGTGTTAGTATTTGCCTTGCAGGCTCAAAAATATCTTGCAAATGGTTGCCAAGGCTTCCTAGTCTCTGTTACTGATGCTAGTAGTATGACATCGAGACTAGAAGACATACCGGTGGTGCGTGAGTTTCCGGATGTATTTCCGGAGGATCTCCCAGGTTTACCTCCGGATAGAGAGGTTGAATTTGCTATTGACCTTGTTCCTGGCACCGGACCTGTTTCCAAAGCACCATACCGTATGGCTCCTGCAGAATTGAAGGAGTTAAAGGTCCAGCTGGAGGAACTCCTTGAGAAAGGGTTTATACGCCCTAGTGTATCACCTTGGGGAGCTCCAGTGTTGTTTGTCAAGAAGAAGGATGGGAGCATGAGGCTTTGCATTGATTACCGGGAATTGAATAAGGTGACTGTGAAGAACCGGTATCCCCTTCCTAGAATTGATGACTTGTTTGACCAGCTCAAGGGTGCTCAAGTATTTTCTAAGATTGATCTTCGATCTGGCTACCACCAGGTGAAGATTAAACTGGATGATGTGCCAAAGACTGCCTTTCGCACCCGTTATGGTCATTATGAGTTCATAGTCATGCCATTTGGCTTAACAAATGCCCCCGCCAGATTTATGGATTTTATGAATCGGGTGTTCAGCAAGTACTTGGACCAGTTTGTGGTTGTCTTTATTGATGACATTTTGGTCTACTCTTCTAGCCATGCTCTTCATGAGAAGCACTTCAGGACATTCCTCGAGACGTTGAGAAGGGAGAGGCTGTTTGCTAAATTCAAGAAGTGTGAATTTTGGCTAGATAATGTTGCATTCCTAGGTCACGTTGTGACTAAGGATGGAATCTCTATTGACCCCCAGAAGATTGAGGCCGTGGTTGATTGGAAGAGGCCAAATAGTGTTGCAGAAATCCGTAGTTTTCTGGGATTGGCTGGTTATTACCGCCGATTTGTGGGGGATTTCTCTAGAATTGCTCTGCCCATGACTCGTCTTATCAGAAAAGACACCAAGTTTGAGTGGACCCCAGAGTGTGAGAAGAGCTTTTTGACCTTGAAGGAGAAGTTGGTCACTGCTCCTGTACTTGCACTTCCAATTAATGGGGAAAGATTCACTATATATAGTGATGCCTCTAAAAGGGGTTTGGGATGTGTCTTGATGCAAAAAGATAGGGTTATTGCATATGCTTCTCGGCAGTTAAAGCCTTATGAAGAAAATTACCCTACCCATGATCTGGAGTTGGCAGTTGTAGTATTTGCACTCAAGATCTGGAGGCATTATCTGTAT